GCTCCTTGCGTGCCCGAGGGCCCCCTGGCCAACGGTCCCCTCCTGTTTCCAGCTGGCCTCACCCTCTCAGGCCCCTCCGGCCTCTCTGGCCGGTGCCACACCGGCCCAGACTCGTCCCCTGACCCGTGTGCGGCCCCCCCCACCCCTGTCCCTGGAGCTGCAGCCTGCAGGCTCGAATGCCCCTGTGCAGCGTCTGCGAGGCCAGCAGCCACCCCAGGCTCCCCCATGCTCCCAGTCCAGCGCCCAGATCCAGCCCCCTCGTCGAGGGGCTCCCGGGCTCTGGGGTCTCTCTGGTCTCTGCTCATCAGCAACATGTCCAGGATCGCGGAGCTGGGCCTCCCCGCCCCGGTGTCCTTGGCTGTGGCTGCCTCCTGATGCCCTGGGACCCGCCGGCCCTCCCCGCCCCAGACACAGGTTCCCGTCTTCCCATTTTCCAGGATGTATCTTTGTAGAGTTGGGGTCTTGCTGTGTTGCCCAGGCTGGAGTACAGTGGCGCCAGGGTAGCTCAGTGCAGCCTGCAACTCCTGGGCTCGAGCGAGTCTCCTGCCTCAACCTCTCGCGTAGCCAGGACTAGAGGTGTGCAATACCACGTCCAGATGATTTCATCACTTTGTTGTGGAGACGGGGTTTCACTGTGTTGCCCAGGCTGGTCTCGGACTCCTGGGCTCAGGTGATCCCTCCTCAGCCTCCCAAAAGCGCTGGATTTACAGGCATGAGTGCCATGCCAGCCTTTCCAGGATTTCTTGAGGGTCTCTGACTCTGGCTCAGTTTCCTCCCAGACCCTCCCCGGTCCGGATCCCGCAGCCCAGCCCCTCCCCTCTCTTGTGGGCCTGACCCCAGGCCCACCTGGCTGCCTGCTCTTGTCTGACATTCCAGAACCTTCTGCCTTCGGTTTTCCTCCTTCCAGCCTGACCCTTGGGTTGCTGAAGGGCCTGGTCGCACCTTCCCATGCAGGAGATTCCTCCGCTTGAGCCCGGGTTCCCTGGGACAGGCCCTCCTGAGACCTCCCAGGTGCAGCCTGAGATGGAGTCCCCAGACGTCCCCGGCCTGGTCTCACCCCAGGTTAAGTGGTTCCCGTTTAGAGCAGGGGTTGCCAGGCCAGGGATGCTCATTGGTGCCTGGTGTGGAGGGCAGAGGCCAGGGATGCCCTCAGGGGCACCCATCCATTGTCCACAGGCCCAGGAGGCCCTGGCTGAGGTCAGTCTCCCCAGGCTCCCGGGGTGGCCAGGAGCCCCCGTACAGGGGAGGTGCTTGGCCACTTGGTGCTTCCTGGGGAGGCCCCGCACCTGGGACTCGAGACCCCCGCCTCTGCGAGTCCTTGGCCAGTGCTGGTGCACCCCGCCATCCACAGTCCTGGAGCCTTACTCAGGCCTCTGGCCCCAGCCTCTCGGTGTGGTCGGGGTCCTCTCCCCTCCCGGCTGCCCAGGAGTTGGGCTGGTGGTGTTGCCCAGGCTGAGGCTCTGTGACACCCTGGCTACCCCTGCTGGCTTGTGGAGCCGCCCTCCGTTTCCCCACAGGCCCTCCTTCCTTCCCTGGGGCTGCCATGTCCTTCCGCCCTCGGCCCCTCCCTCCCTTTTCTCGGCCTTCCCCCTCCATCCTGAGATCCCTCCTGCAGGCCTCTGCGGGGTGGGGGGACCCGGACCCGCATCTCACAGACCCTCCCTGGGAAGGCCCCTGGGAGAGGAGGGGCTCGGGCGCGGCCCTGCCCAGCCCAGCCCAGCCTTGAGGCTCCCCTGCAACTGGGCATGTGCCACTCCGGACGCTTCCAGGCTGCGTGGCCTCCCACGCTCAGTGACACTGTGGGAGCCCCAGGATGGGCTCCGGGGAAGAGCACACCCCCTCCCGGCTGCCAAGTCACCCAGCGCCGGTCCTGGCTCCCCGCCGGCTCCTTTCCCAACTTCCTCCCCTGTTCCGAAATGGTGTGATCTGGCCGGGGTGTGGCTGCACCAGCCAGGGAGTGGCT